TTAATAAAATGTAAATTGCTGAGAGTTTATTAATTACCTGTAATTTTATCATTCCATAACTGATAACGGTCCACTATTAAAACAGTCTACTATCAGCTTAGTTTCCTTCTTCTCACTAGCCTCTGGTTATAAAAGCCAGTGAGCTTTCAAACACAAAATATGAAGTAGCTGACAACCCTAAAACTCAATTATATACCAGTTTAGTTTGTAATAATAATAATATGTCAGCTCATTTCTGCTAATTTTCTTACTAATTTTTCTTTTATGTTAAGCACATTCAGCTTATGTGTCCAATATAGACAAAATGGCCATTGCCATTCGAGCAGTTCAAGTAAGGTGGTACTATAAGCCAGGGGTGTCAAATGTAAGGCCTGGTGGTCAGAATCGGCCCAGCAACGGCTCCAATCCACCCCACTTGACAGCTTTGTAAAGTACGGAGAGCAGATATTTTTTGGGACTTTTACCTGTCTTTTTATAAGTTTTACAGGTTTTCCTGCTGATAAAGACCTCCCCCACAGCCATTCATACTACACTGATATAGTTGATTAATAGGTAAACAGTTAAATGACAGAAACATTCCTGTTTTTCAGTGTCCAAAATAGAATTAAAAAAAGACCATTTTCATAAATCAACAATAATTTTGTTTCATTAAAAAAACTTGCTGAACCAAACATTAATGTTTGTACCACGTTTCATGACAGTACAATCGACAGTTTTGCACTAATTTTAAAAAAAAAAACGTGAAATAAGATGTTAGCCTGAGTGGCATAGTGTTGGAGTGGTTACCATTTGGTGTTGCTATTATACTGTAGGCTTTTTTTTTCTCTCAGTGAAGTTTGCAAGTTCTTCAATTGCCTGAATAAGTTGCTGGTGGTTCTACCTTGACTGTAGGTATATTGATTGTCTCTCCGTGTTAACCCTGAGATGGACTTATAAGCTGTCCAGGGAGCATCCAGCCTGCTTTTTGACCAGGCTTCAGCACCCTGTGACCCAACTGGGGTAAACAGTCAAGGTGATGGATGGATGGATGGATGGATGGACGGATGGACGGAGGGACGGATAGATGGACTTAAAACCACATAATGTCGCCATAGGGCCATAAATATTTGTATAAATTTTGATCATGGTACAACTAAAAATGCTAAAAAAAAAAGAGCTAACAATAGACCAATGTGTGTAAACGAACCAGTACCCTAATTTCGTCATGTTGGTTTCCGCTAAAAACACCTATTATGTATGAGCTCTGTGAGTCTTGATAAATATACACTCACTGGCCACTTTGTCAGTTACACCATGACATCCTTTTGGCTTCAGACCTGTCACATAGATTCAATAAGGAGCTGTAAGCATTTCTCAGAGATTTTGGTGACATGGCAGCATCACACAGTTGCTACAGCTGTCTCGGCTGTACACTCTTGATGCAAATCTTCAGTTCTACCACACCCAAAAGCTGCTCTATTGGACTGAGATCTGGAGACTGTGGAGGCCCTTTAAGTATAGCGAAATCATTGTCATGTTAAAGAATCTAGTTGATTTGAACTTAGCTGTCTCCAGCTGTGTCACTATCAGAAAATGAGTACCCTGTGGTCATAGAGGGATGGACATGGTCAGCAACAATAATCTGGTAGACTGTGGTGTTTAAAAGTTCAGTTGGTACTAAGATGCCCAAAGCGTGACAAGAAGATGTCTCCCACCCCATTACCCCAACAGCAGCATCATAACCCAAGGATAAAAGGCAGGTTAGATCCATGCTTTCAGAACTCAACGGACTGGGAAACATTTTTCAAATCTTCTCTGGGAATCATAGCTTCAATTTCTTGTTCTTAGTTGACAGGGGTGTTCTTCCGTCATCAAGATCCAGTGTATTGTTCAAACAGAGATGCTCTTCTGCATACATTGGTTGTAACAAGTGGTTATTTGAGTAACTGTTGCCTTCCTATTAGTTTGAACTTCAGCAGGTCGTCTACATGCCTAAATCCACAGATTTGCCACTACATGATTGGCTGATTAGATAATTGCAGTAACAAGTTGTTGTATAACAGTTTTTCTTTCTTTATTTCATCTCCCTGAAGGTTGGAGGGACATTGATGGCCGCGCTCCTCGTCAGAGAGGACAGAAGGAGTCACTGGACCAGCTACTTGGGCAGATAAAAGAAGCTCACCGCCACTGTGTCTGCCATGGTATCAACAACTTTTTGACCAATTCGAAGGGGCTGTTTTCCCCCAGAAAGACTAAAAACTAATATGAGAGCTTGAAGTATTTGAAGCCTAACCAAATTTCAAAGGTGTTTTAAACTTAACCTTAAGATCAGTGTTTAATACTGGTACGACTTCATGTTTCATGAGCATTTTTTTTCCTGCGCAAAGAAACACAACGATGCAGAGTTGAAATCACAGGTGTAACAGGTTGCTGTGTTTCATCTCAGCATGACAGACACTTTACAATCTCAGGCCGTACATATTAAGGTGACACGTCGCCTCAAAAATAATACCCTCCCGTCTGTCTCGGCAACCCCTCCCCATCCCTCACGAGTCTTTCCATGACTCAGCCGTTCCTCGGCTGAATACCTCTCCCTCTCTGTGACAAAATGCAGATCAGCTTCTCTCACACTCAAGCTGTTTATATCCCTAAACACTGCTGGCTGTAAGCTGGTCCCATAAGTGTCAAAACCTGTCCACACTGCCTCTTTTTACATGACGGCAAACTGCACTTAGCCTTGAGCAAGTTGTCCCTCTTTTTCTCTCACACCCACACGCCCAAACACACTCACCCACTTACTATTGTCCACTGTGGCTAGACCATATTTGCAACAGGGCAAGATGCAATATAATAGCCGGTATTGAGTGGCTCTTGGTTCTTCAGACGGTGGCTGATTGAGTTTGAGAGTTCAGACACGGTAGTCGAGGTGGCGTGTCCTGGGGTCATGTTTGTTATTCCTGTAAGAGACAAGTCCCGGGCTGGAGTCTGGAGAGGGCATAAATTAACACTGACTACTGCTGCCTCCCCCTCTCGCCCCCTGCAGCCCACCAGTCGCCCTGTCTACTGTCCTCACATATATACACACACATAAAGATAGACAGGCTCACACACGGGTACGCGTGTACACGAGCAGACGCAAATATTCAAGTACATGCTCTCGCTTTCAACTCTTGACTCCCCTACATGTCCATGTACGCACCCCCCCGCCATCGCAGCCCGGCTCAAAGCCCACACCACCTTCTCCCTCTTGTCCAAACACTATTAATTAAACTGTGAAAGAAGTCTTGACTAACCCAGGCACCCCAGCAGTCAGCCCTTCTTGTCTCTCTTACTCAGTGTCAAAGAGCGACTGAGGCCTGGCAAGGCTGGAGCTGAACAGAGTCGCGTGTGGAGCGAAATTTGGGGAGGTGAGAAGGGTCGAATGGTGCTTTTTTTTTTCTGGTTACTACACCTCAACTCATCCACCTGAAGAGAAAATTAGTTCTTGTTGGGCCCTGAATGGGGAGGTTTATTGACTTTAAGTGGCTTGGGGCTGGAGTTACCTCACCTGTGGGGAGCTGGGCAGGGGGGGTCTGTAAAGGGTTTTGGGACTCATGGTTTCTAATGAGTGGGGAGGTGCGTTATCTCACCAACAAGCACCCTTACAAACGCACACATATAGATATGCATTCACCTCTCTCGCTCTGGCCTCCAACCCCCTCCTGGTCCACTAAAAATAAACACGTCCCCACAGACTTGACTGACCTCCCCTGTAGGTGAGCGGCGAAGGCTTAAGACACATACAGACGTACACACACACAAATTACGACAGCTCCTTGACTCTGCGCGTATGGCTGTTGCTCGAGGCTTGCCATGCTCCAGCAGCTATAGCGTGTACAGGTAAACACACACAGACACACACACGTGTACACACAGCTCCTCTGGGACCTGAGAGTAAGCAGTTCCCTTTAGGCCCATACTCTGCTGCTGGCAGCCAGCTTGACTGTCAAATGGTACCGCACCACTGGAGAGCATGTCAAGAAATATTCCACTCTGACCGCGATGTTGGATGTGTCAGGTTTGTTGTCAGTTAGGTAACTCTGGTAACAGCCTGCCACTGGGCTTAGTTAGGACAGGAGTAGACACCAGTTTAGAGAGAAAACCAGTCAGAGTCACGGCTCTATTGTGTCTGGTATGCTATTTGTGATTTTAAGCATCAAGGGCATTGGAATAGTTATTCAGGTAATCTGACTCTGTTGTTGCTATGGAATTAGCTTAATCCTTTCTGTTTTTTTCCTGTGTTTTTTCACACAGAGCAATGCAAAGCTCCACCACAAAGCAGGAAGCACTCAGTGTCCAAGAGCCTGCGGCACCTTTTCCAGCCCACCAACAAATTTGTCAAAAGCTTGAAAAGGTAGAAGAGAGTTTATCCTTGAACCGTGGCGTAAAAATTAGAGCACTCCATGTCCTAGGCTTTTAACTATATGTTTAACAAATCTGGTGTGTAATTTGTCATTTTATTTTTACACTCTCCCGCCAGATTTTTAGTTCAGGTTTATTTATATAGCACCAAATCACCGCAACAGTCACCTCAAGGTCCTTTATACTGCAAGGTAAACACCCTAGAGTAATAGAGAGAAAATCCCAACAATCAAACTACCTACTATGAGCAAGCACTTGGTGACAGGGGTAAGGAAAACCCCCTTTTAACAGGAAGAAACCTCCGGCAGAACCAGGCTCAGGGAGGGGCGGCCGTCTGCTGTGACCGTTTATAGGGTTGAGGGGAGGAAGACAGGATAAAAGACACGCTGTGGAAGATACCTTTTTACGATGTACATTTACATAAAACAGCAAAGTACTGATTCTAGTGTTTTTTTACATTTAAACATTCAGAGCTGTATTAAATACTCATACACACATTTTTTCTGCGTTTCCTTCCAGAGGTCTCTATCTGGCGTCCATATTCTACAGAGATGACAACGTGTTGGTGACTCCAGAGGAGCAGATTCCTATTGTGGAGATTGAAGATTCGTATTCAAGCTCACTGATGCAGGACTTTCTATGGTTTACTAAGGTGCATGGACCACAGTTTAACTTGACAGTCACATATCTATGCATTTGCACAAATGATTACAATGCCCCTTATTATGATTCCTATCCCGCAACAGGTGTCCTATCTATGGGAGGAAATTTCGTGGCTGCAGCAGTGCCTCGGTCCTTCCCAGACGTCGTGCTCATGCACTCTGCAGACTCGCCTCAAGATGCTGCAGGCCGTCTCCCATCTACAGGTAGTCTAATAGTTTTATGAGTAAATTATGGTGGCTGTGATCATATGAGCTCAGTGTGAAACATTTTAGGAAATATTATCTGATGGTTTTTTTTTATCAGGGAGCACTGGGAACCCAGGATCTTGGTCAGGTTTATTTTGAGCCGATCAAAGACAAGCATGGTAACGCCCTGTTGGTGCTGCTGAAGGACATGAATGCGTCTCCCAACCTTGACGGGGTACGCTGGACGCAGCTTTGTAAACTGCAGCTCCAACGAAAATCTATATCATCCCCTGAAGAGCCCACTGCGCTGGACATGCTCCTCATCACACTTCATGTGAGTCCGGCAGGTCTTAAGATATTACTGTGTAATTGTAACATGTAATTGGCTCGCACAGAAATATAAAAAAAAAAAAATCAACAAGCGGTTTTCAAACAGAAACCAAAACTCAGAAATAAGACAAAACCATGGGACCATGACAGCAGGCATCTTTGTAGACAGTATCTGCATGTGAATGTGCAGAATCGGGACATACAAGATGAAATTTTACACAATCTTACCTCTCATGTCAGTTATGTGTTGTCCAGATATCCACTCTCTTCAAAACAAGCTGATTGGCTCCCATATTGTAGAGAAGTGGGCTGGCAGTGATTAGGAGTTACCTCAGTTTTGTACATTGGGCTATTTTTTGCTTTTGTTTTGGTCAAAGAACGCTTCCACAGCAGTTTATGTTGCGTTTATGTTACCCGAGGATGTGGCCAGATCAAAGCACGTCGAATAAAGGGCTTTGTCGACAACAAAATGCCCCGAAACATGTATTTAGTGGAATCGCTGAGGCTCTCATTCACAGAAAACCAAACACAGCCTGACAGACATGAGGCACCGAGGCAGGAACAATAGGACTTTAAATTGAAATCTGCTTCCAATTACAAGTTCTGTTTGTGCAGACACCCTTTATTTAGACAAACATTAATCACCGTGACTCTGCTCTTCCATTTGTCACTGTCATTATTAGGCCATTCAGCATACTGAGCAGACTTGTCATCAGATTAATTAAAATGCCAAACGTCAGGTCAATCTGTGACAGCTCAACATGTAAACGTAACCATCTTGAAGTCGCTTCACGTTTTAAAGCCGCTTATTCAGCAAGTAGCAGTTTAAACTTTCAGCATGTTGGAGACGATGATGATCTAACCGTGTAACTGTTGTTATTTAGTGTTATATAACTAATTCTGTGTGGATGTTTAGTTCAGCAAAAAAAAAAAAACAACCAAAAAACAATCTGGAAGTAAACCACAAGTTGATTTTGTCTATATAACCTAGTAAACCTGATGCCATTGTTGCAATGCTGTTTGGCCTCTAAAGCACACTGGTTTCGTCCTGTGGTTCCAAAACAATAGCGAAGATTCCCTTTGGCAAAACCACAGCTCACTGAAATATTTGTTTTGTGGCCAGTTATGAACAAATTATATGATGAAATGCGAAAAAATGTGCTGATGGGCTATTCTGTGGACTGACTTCCACTTTAAACACGCTGGAACAACATGAAAAGCATCCAAGACTAACTGAACAGCGAAACATAAAAACAGGACTACTGATTGAGAGGATGCTTACGGAGAAAAAATTAAAAGCACAGCCATCATGTAATTCACCCCGTTCAACACTTACTTTCATAGAGTTAAAAATTACTTCTATAAAGAAAAAGGTACTGAATTCCACAGTTTTAGTTCAGTTTGGGTGGAAATTCCACCATACAATGCTGCTATTTTTACCCCCTGCATACCTTTAGGTCATGCAGTGTGACAACAGTGTTACGGCCATGCTACTTTTGGAACAGGAACAGTCCAGAGTCTGGTAGAGGTTTTTTTCCAGTTGCAGAGCACCAAATCACAGATATGAACTGATGATGATTTATCCTAGCACTGTCAGTGAACATAAGTGGACACCAGACACTGAAGGTAAAAATGGTGTTTAGCCATAACATGTGCCTGGTTCTTTTTTGCTCTAAAAACAAAACCACAGCTTATACGTAGTTTGGCCGACCATTTGAGTTTGTAAACAGCTAACAGTAACACTGGACTGATTAAATACATTTGGTACCTTAATTGTGGCAGACTATGTCTAAAAATGTACTAAAATACAAAACTCACTGATGCATATTCCCAGCAGGGAGGTCAAGTAAAGACTGGCCAGTTCTAGTCAATGCTAGTTGACAGAAGTTAGAAGATACACATTTAATGGCAAATGGCTTGATAATGATTGCTATCAGCTTGTCATGAGGAAGGAAGTCAAGTGCTAAGCTCTGGTTGATGAGGCCATTACCTCATTTCCCATTAAAGAACTGAGGAGAACCATTGAGGAGAATGGAGCTCAAGAAGGATGTGGCTGGTCAGAGCTTGCCAGCTAACTTTGTCTTAGATGGCCCACTCAGGCGAGGTATACGGCTGAAGGATGTTATGCCAGTTACATTGAAATACCAGCTGAAGATGTGGAAGGATTCCCAAAACAGTGAGCATTTGGGCTACCTTGCCCACAAGGCTATCACGAATATGCCCCTTAGTCTAGTTTCTTTTAATAAAAGACATGCAGACTGCATTACGTCTTAAATTTACTCTGTATTTCCATCTTGTGTATGTTTGTTTTAGTGGTATTCAAATGCAATGAAAAGTCTTAAGGGACACCCTGTCTGCTGTTTCTAGGAGAAGCTGGCGTACCACAGGCGTAGCAGGAAGCTTTTGTCTCCAGGCTTATATCTGGGCTACCTGAAGTTGTGTACATCGGTGGAGCAGATAAGAGCACTGGTGCCCCAGAAACTCCCCAACGTGCTCTGTCATACCAAAATTCGAGACAACAGCAATGTGTCCAGGTTGGGATCATGCATTACCTAATGTGTAATTGAATTGCAGTCCTGCTGGTTAGGCTGATAAATTTCAAAAGCAAGAACTAAACTAAACTATCAAAACAATAAAGGAGTTGTTTCTGTGATATTCCAGAGAGGAGTGGCAGTGGCTTCAGGCCCTCAGCTCTCTGGAGGAGTCACTGGAAATGGACCATGATGTACAGAGTGCTCCCCATCGCCTCCTACAGGACCTGCGTAATGCCATCAAGGACCTGATAGCTCACATCAACATTCCTGGCAATCAGGTCAGAACAAGACAACTGTATCTATTTAGTGAGTGAGTCCACAATTTGTTTAGTAAAAGTGATTTTGACTGATGCGTAGAACCTGGGGAAGCATACAGCGAGTCAGGCAGCAGCAGAAGCACAAAGCTCTTTAAAATGACTCCAGTGGAAATTGAGGC